GGCAATAATTTCCAGCATCATTACATATATATATATATATATATATCAAGTTCATGCCATGGAATGTAAAACTATGAAGCTATTCTTCCATTATCCTCTTCCCTCTTCAAAGTGCCTCTGTCCCTACTTGAATCATGGTAAATTTGGAAGGAATGAGATTTCATAAAAATCCTAACAGCAAGATAAAATCAACTAAGCATTAACAAGCATCATTATCGCACAACTTTACTAAAAGCCATTGTTAGGGAACTAATACTAACTCATACCCTGTGAAATTCTAACATGCAATAGCCAAGACATAACATTGCAAGGAGCAATCATAAGTTATACGTAAACTTTCATATAGCTCAACCATCCAAAGGCAATAACATAAGTATAACAACAATGTAATGTTAACAACAAAGTTAATTAAATCTTGCTACCTCAAGTGAAGTAAGTCTTAACTCTCTCTTCTTGTTCTTGGCTCCTTCCTTCACAAATGTCAAAGTCTATCCAACAAATGGGCATAACCATTATATTCCACATCACAACAAAACTTAATGTTTAAATTGAATAAAACCCTTAATCTCTTTCTCTTTAATTTTTGAGTTTTGTTTCCATCAATTTATAACTTATTCTCTTAGGCCAATCCTACATGATTTTTCACATAGAATCCAAATATGAGTTTAAAATTATGAAATTCATCTTTCTTCCTCTTGAACCCCCTTAGGCCAAGACACTCTCTTTTTCACCTAAATTTCCAATTTTGATTCCAATGCTTCCAAGACTTGTTCCTTAAGTGTATCTTACATAATTTTTCATTCTAAATACATTGGAAGCATCAAAACAAGTAAAATCCAATCCTAGGTGAAAAGTCCTCTTGGCCGTGGGGTACCCTAAATTTTCTAACAACAACAATATCAACCATAATCACATAATACCACTTGATTCAAGTCATAAACAACCTCTTAAACTAATTCCCATCATCAAAATCATCCTCCACCAATCCTATATAATTTTAGCCAGCAAGAGGGGAAGAGAAATCATGGATTTTTAACCATAAAACTCAAGATTTCTAAGCATTAAACCAACTAGGATTAACTACTAACTTTGGATCTAAGTTTGGTTGGTTGGTTGATTTCTTGCCTTGTTCTCCTCTTTAAGCTTCAAGTTTTCAATTCTCAAGAGTTTCCCCTATGGAAACCAAAATGTGAAGGAGGTGGGAGAGGAAGATGGGATTTTATAAAGGTCTTTGGACAATTTTGCCCTTGACCTTTCTCAAATTGCCAAAATTATGTGATTGGTTGATAATTAATATATATATGAGATCATAATTCCTAAGGGCTTATATCATGCACATCTTGAAACTTCTCCTTGCTTCTTTCACTTTCCAAATGGCACCAAGAATAGCTTAGTCAAGAAGGAAGAAGATTTTTCACAATATATCATGTATAACTTTCTACCAGTTTAAGTAATTTTTGTACTGACAGCACCATAATTGTCCCTGATACTTTTGGCCACCTATCCTCATCTTTTACCATTTACTTTTGAGTCACCACCTTTTACTTTTGAGTCATCACCCCTCATAATGGTTTTCAAAAGAATAGAAATCCTTAGTCAAAAATAGTGGCTAAAAGCATTACTTTTTCTTTCAAAAATGCTTTCTAGAGTTCTAGGACTCAAAAAATTTCTCTGTCAGTTTTAATATCTCTCTTCAATTCCAAAAAAATTTCATGAATTTTTCTGAAATTTAACTCCTCCCCTAGATATTTCTTTTTGAATTTCCCGGATAAAAGCCCTAATTGGCTTAAATAAGCTTTAAATATTTTAAAAGCTAATCTAGGGGTAATTTGGAAATAAAATTACTTCTACAATGTTCTAAAACTCTCAAGGTATTTTATTCATATTTTTATCAATTTTTCTGAGGTGTTGAAGCATATGAAATAATTAAATTTGACTAATTTTTCTTAATTAGTCAAATACTATGAAAATTACTAAAAAATTAATATTAATTAATTTCCTTCCTATTTTTGACTTCTGGGACCAACATCCTATTCCAGAGAATTTTCTCTAATTTCTTGAGTTTTCTAGAAATTTTCAGAGCTTTCTGTCATATTTCTCTAATTTATATTGATTTACTTAAAATACTGAAAATTTCACTTTGGTTTCTATTTTGATTTCACATCAAAAGTTGTGCAATCTGCATTAACACTAATAGACTGGGCCTTAACCATCTTTAGAGTAAATATATTTTAGTCAGAAAATACTAGATGTGACAGGATACTAAGGAAAAAAACTTTTAAAAATAGTGAAAATATTTACCAATTATGAGAGTTTTTTCTTTTGGTATTCTTTATTTACTGATTTTTTTTCCTCTTCGAAACACAGGGTGACTTTTTCTTTCTTAGGAAAAACTTCTTTTATCCCCTTTTAGAAGAAAAAAAATCTGGAATCAAATATTGGAGACAATAACTAATTTAAATATTGTATGTATTAAATTATTTAAAGAGAACAAGTGATAAAATTTTGATTAATAAAAATCAAATGTACTTTGCGCTTGATAATTTTATATTTTTTCAATTTAGGCTTTTAGATATATATTTTGATGAATGTATATTGAAGACATCCTAAACAAAATTATTTATTTAAGAAGGGCACGTGTCATGATATGATAATGTCCTTTCTCTTTATTCCATGTTCATTCCTTTTTTTAAAAAAAAAAACTCTTTTGAGAGAAAAAGAGAGAACAAAGAGAATCCGAAGAAAAGGTAAAAGTTGGAATTGAACTTGAAGGAGAAGAGTGAAGTTCGAATGCAACCAAGTGCTGAAGGAATTTGATTCACTCTCTTTATCCCATCTCTCTCTTTCTCTTTCCCTCTCTCTCTCTCTCTCTCTCTCTCTCTCCGTACACACAGACAAAGGGTGACATTATCTTAGTTCCTGCTCTTTTCACAAATACATGTGTTGTAATATTTACAGTCATAAATAATGCAATTTACTTTATCTAATGAAAATGTCAAAACATAAATATATATGTATATATATTATATTCACAAGTCATCAAATAACATGATTCATTTTGAATTTTGTAGAAATATATGATACATGAAATCAAAATTATATTTGGACGAACTAATTGGTTGCCACCTTATTCACATTCCCGATCCTCGTGCACTGGAAGATAGTACTGTTCGTATATACCAAAACATCACATTTTCTTTGACCACACACATAATATTTTTAATAGAAAGTACATATCAACAACGCGTGCATCGGTGCAAGTGTTTCTTAATAAATCAGATTATATATTTGCTAGCTTTGTTAAATCAAATAAATTTTTTCAACTTAACATTTCATATGATCTAATATCTTAAAAATTTGTGTTGCGAGTACTATTTTTTTCCTGCAGAAATCTACGCACAGTATGATCGATATCTTGGTTAATATGTTTTTTAATGAGATCTACTTGGTATTTGATATTAACAAATAATTTGACTTTAATTGGCATATGGTTTGAAAGTGAATAAAACTTTTCATTAACATGCTGTTTTCTTTTTGCTCGAATATGATTTCTTAGTTATGAATAGAATGATCCCAACTCGTCCAAAATTTCAACTTTTTCTAAAGTAAAATGTGTATTATATATTTAGAAAAATAAAAGGATAAACAAGAAGCGTAAATACAAATGAGATTTTGAAAAAAAAAAGTGTGTAATTAAATACGTGAAAAGGAATTTATTAGTTTTTTTAAAAAAAGGTACAAATTAAATGTTCCTCAAATATTTGAAAAGAAGAATCTTGTTATCTTCCTACTCACTTCAGTAAAGTTAGGCGGATTCAAACTACAAGTTAAATTCATTTGAAAATGTGTTTTTTCCTTTTCTTTACAGACAAACACGCCCATCATCACTCATATATTATTATATACTCCTTTCAAATGTAAAAGTAGAAGTTAGATAATTAATCTGTAGATATTTATAAAATTATACAAGTCAATTATTTGTAAAACCGTTTGTGTTGATTTATCCAAGTAACTGTTTTAATAATTTGCATTAAAAACTACTCCCCTGATGAAAACCCAGCCCTTAATGTATGCAACAATATAGGGAGACATTAGGTTAAAAATTATAAATTCAGGGGATAAAATGGATTAATATCTTAGATTTAGAATCAAAATAAACTCTTTCTATTAATTCTTATATTTAAGATGAGAGGGCGTACATAAGTGTTGTTTTTATTTTGTGAATTCAAACAATATAATGTGAGATATTTGGTTTATAACTAGGACAAAATTTAGGTCAAGTTGTTATATTTATTAAGTTATCCAATCACACTAGTCATTTTACTATTGTTAGTGGTTAAAATGCATATGTGCGTTTACAAATTCACTTAAGAACACTTGTAAAATTTTGTATTCGCTCCTATATTGTAAATTAGGATTTATAAATTTTATATGGACACTTGTTGTTTTGCTATTACTAGTTACTAACGTGCATATATGCACTTATAAATTTACATATGAAATATAGCCACTTATTATTCTGCTATTGTTAATTATTAAAACGTATATGTCCCCTTGCAAATTTACGCAGCAATTTGACCCAATCTAAGTTTTATCCTTATCGTTATATATCATTTCAAACTGGGGAAATTACATCCTAAGGACTTATATGTCTAAAAACATTATCGTTAACAAAATTTGAATATGATAATTATTTCGAAACAACCAAAATCACCATCAAATTTAAGAATCTTACTGTGTTCAAAGAAGCTACAGTTAAATTTCTCAAAAGTTAGAGTATTAAGTAACTTTGCTATAGTTTTAAAGTATTAAGTTTGCTATAGTTTAAGATTTTTTTTCAATTTTTGCAACATTATTTAAAAACCCCTTGAATATAAATCCTTGAGGACTAAATGGTAGTATGATTCTTTATACACAACTTTTCCATCATGATTTACAAAGGTAACTGTAATAAGAGTTTTATCTCAACTTAAATGAACGTGCTTATAAGAATTTAATATTCATAGCTCCAAACAAACCCTAAAACTCATAGTATAATTTTCCTTTGTGGACAATATAGTAGTAGTAGTAGCAGCAGCAGCAGCAGCAGTAGTAGTGGTAGTGGTGGTGGTCATGGTAGTGGTGGTGGTAGTTGTGGTGGTGGTGGTGGTGGTGGTGGTTGTAGTGGTAGTGGTAGTGGTAGTGGTGGTGGTAGTAGTGGTAGTAGTAGTGGTGGTAGTGGTGGTGGCAGCGGCAGCAGCGGCGGGGGTAGCGGGGGCAGCGGCGGCGGCAGCAGCAGCAGCAGGAGCAGGAGCAGGAGCAGGAGCAGCGGCAGGGGGAGCAGCGGCGGCGGCGGCGGCAGCAGCAGCAGCAGCAGTAGTAGTAGTGTTGCTCAAAATTTGAGAGGAACCATGCTTATTAATTATGACTTATCATTTATCAATAGTATAATCATCTATATATTTATTTATTTTTTATATTGATTGATTATATATTTACATCTCGAAAGGCATTATGATCTCATTAACCGTTGAACATGGTACTACTTAGACTCTATATGTCATGAATCAATTTAACCTTATGTTTGAAATGAGGCAAATGGAGGGGAGGGAAGGAAAAAATTTAATGAGTTTGATTCAAAAGTGGAGTTATAAAATTTTAGTAAAAAAAAGATCTAAGGTAAAAAGGTAATAAAAATAATTAAAAGTTTTAAATTTGGACACTTTAGATATAATTTTTTTTATTTATATTGTTTTAAAATAATTATTTAAATGGGTATAGAATCTAAAATAATCTCTTAACTATCATTTTTTTTAAAAAATATTTTTATTTTACAATAATTAATTAAAATATTAAATCTGCTCTAGACGGACCGGCTAGCACCCAAACCGGTTTCTTTTCATAGTACCGGAGAGACCCTAAATGTGCTCCTTGGACTTATTCATGTACATAGATTAGTAAGTTGTATATTGGATTTCCATAGAAAATACAATGTCAGATGAAGAATATAAAGGGTGACAAGAAAGAAACTGCTAATAAAGCTTCATTTGAAGCCGCCCGAGAATCTGAGAGAGTTGCTAAGGTTGCAGATAAGAAAGGAAAAAGAGAGTATATAATGGGCATAAAGAAGTTAAAGCAAAGAATGAGAGAGAGAGAGGGAGAAATTAAAGGACTTAACACAGTAAGAAGAAGAATCCTCTTTAGTTTATATTGGCGATATTCCTACAAAGACTGCACAAAAAGTTCCATACAACGATGCTCTGAGTATGCACATGAACCTCTAATGTCCGCCTCTCTTATTCCCTTTTCTTTTTCCTTTTTTTTTTTTTTTCCTTTTCCCATGTTTTTTCCTAAAAGCAAAAGTTTAGATGAGTTGGATCCCAATAACCCATCTGAATTGAGGTATATTTCATCATTGAAATAACACACAATTAGATAAATAAAGTCTTCTAATTTATAGAAACATTGAGAATTGAACCCATGCTTTTATGATATATTTGTCAGATTTGTTTCTCTTTTACCGATTGGATCAGCCTTGTCTTGCGATTCCCTTATTTTCTGATTTCTCTTAATTCTTTGTGGAAATTTTGATTCCTCTTTGCTTTATCCTCTTTTTTGGGGTTCTCTTTATTCCTCGAGAAAAGAAGACGATACTCGCTCGAATCCTACTTGTGTTCACAAATCAACATCGTCCCCACCACATCTGAAGCAGGAAGCCAAACACCATCTTTTCTCTTGTTTGTTCCTAACATAACAAATCCCTGCGCCTATTCTGGCATTTATCATCATCTTTATATATAGCTTCTGGTTTGTTGTGTTTGTTTGTACGTACGTTAGAAAACAAATATGGCAATTCCTTCTGAGCGTAGCCTTGATTGCAAACCCCATCACAGCTTTTCCATGCTTCTGAAATCTTTTCGACACCATCACTGTACTGATCAGACTCCTCAGAACCTCACGCTCGAAGAATTCCTTTCTCGCCTCGAAGAAGAACGCCTCAAGATCGATGCCTTTAAGCGCGAGCTTCCTCTCTGCATGCAACTTCTCACCAACGGTACACTTTTCAAATCTTTAAATTAACACACAAACACAGGCAAGGAGCCTCTAATGTCCCACATTTTAATACCCTACTGATCCCCGAACCCACATGTTTTTATCTTTTCTATACTGATCATTAGATTTTGCATAAAAGATTAGTGACATTTTGATATCTTAGGAATATGAAATGATGCAATTTTAGATTTTTTATGATATTTAAAAAAAAAAAACCCAAACCGCATAAAATTTTAAAATATTTTATATAAAATCAGAACCATCCGTAAGATATTAAAATATCACTGGTGTAAAATCTAATGATCATTACAGAGAAGAGAGAACAATTTGGGAAGTTGGGGCATCACAGGGGACATCAAAGAGTTGGGCCTTAGAGGCCACTTGCCCCACACACACAATATGTAGCTTACATGGATTGATCTTCGGTGATGGGACAGCTATGGCGGAATCAAGGCAGAAACTTGAGGCTTTGAGTGGAAATGAAGGCAAGAAAAGTGCAGTTCTGGAAGAATTCATACCCTTAAAGCATTCATCATCAACTAGGGAAAGCCCTGATAAAGCAGCAAGCAACTGTGATAATAAAGCTAATTGGATGATATCTGCTCAGCTATGGAGCCAAGCTAGTGAAGAAACCAAGCCACAATATTCCACAATTGCATCGCCTAATAACTGCAATAAAGAAACTGATCATCGGATGGCCGGGTTCGATGTTGTTAGCCCTAATAAACTACACAGAAATATTAATGGAGGAGCCTTTCTTCCATTCTCAAATAATAAGGAACGAATTAGCTCGAATCAGTGCTCCTCATCGCCGCCATTGCAGACTCTTCCGGAGCTGGCACTTGCTTCTGCTGATGATCAGAAACAAATGGAAGATGAGAAATTATACTCAGAGACGATTGAGGATTCTTCTGGTAAAGGAGGAAGCAATAATTGTAGTGATCAAGGAAAAGGGATTACAGTTTCGTGTGAGGCGAAAACAAACAGTAAAACTGTTTTGACGACGTCCACCACGCAAAGTCATCGGAAAGCAAGAAGGTGTTGGTCGCCGGACTTGCACCGGAGATTTGTGAATGCTCTTCAGATGCTTGGTGGATCTCAAGGTAAACTTTATTAGCAATACTTTTATGATTTTACAATCACTACTATATATGATATAATTTTTTTTTTACCAGTACTATATATGATATAATAATTGATTTTTTTTTGTTTATCAACAGTGGCCACCCCAAAACAGATTAGGGAGCTGATGAAGGTTGACGGATTGACCAATGATGAGGTTAAAAGTCATCTCCAGGTAAAAAAAACGAAAAAGAAAAGAAAAGGCCCACTGATTCTGCTGTCTAATATATATAGAAACATGTTTGGTATTAAACAAAATGTTACATAAATAAATAATTATACATTCATTGAATGACAATAAATAATTTGGGTCTATGTATATTTGGAAAGCATAACCAATATTATTACTTAATAGGCATGATCAAATTAATGATAATTAAGGATATATACTTTATATTTCATGTATTAATAATCTTATCAATATTAAGAATATGCGAACAGCATTGGAAAGAAATGGTTTTAAGAGTTATTTTATAATTTTTGCATAGCCTTTGTGATGACAGGTTTGTAAACAGTCAAGAAATTGTATATATAGATATAAATTAAATAATCTAAATTTTAATTAAAAAATAAATGTAAAAAAATTTAAATTTAAATTTAAATTTGATTGGTACATGATAAACTAGTAGCTCAATTCTTCACTGATTCTTTTGATTGACTAAATCCCTGTTAAGGTAAGTGAAACAGGCGAGAGATTTATCTATTTAAAAAAATTATATTTTTAATATTTTATTTTTAAATAATATTTTATTTTAGTGTCTTAATTTTATAAGATGATTTTTCATTCCATTAGTCTTAACGCCGTGAATAAAAAATGACAGAAATTTAATTTTTAAATGTTGAGAAAACATTTTTAATATCGACATGTTAAGTTTAATTTTTGAGACAACAATAAGCATTGTAAAATAATATTATTTCAGACTAACGTTATTAAAATTAGAAAACTAAAAAGAAATTTTATCAAATTAAATGAATAAACTAAAAATTTGTATAAAAATTAGATGAGCACTTTTATGATTTTTTAATCTTTAAATTTTTTTGTTGGCAATTTTTAATCTCTAAATTAAATTCATTCTTTTCACCAATTCAATTTTCTATCCACGTTGGTTTCTTTCCTGAGTCATTCTAATGTTTCGGCCTGTTTGGTCCCCAGAAATATCGCCTCCACACAAGACGACCCGGTCCAAACCCGCAAGCAGGTGGGGCGGCAGCACCTCAGCTTGTAGTCCTAGGAGGAATATGGGTCCCACCCGCAACAGGAACCACTAACGCACTCTTTGGCTCGCACCCGGCCTATCATGCTCCCTCACCGCACCACTTCCCTCCCGCCAATCCGTCCCAAGACTCGTTGTTCACCAGGACGACAACACAATCACATAACCACGCTCTTCCCCACCAAGACCACCTCAATGGGTACAAAGCGACTTCGCAGAGCCAGAGATCTCCAGAATCAGAGAGCATAGAAGATGGGAAGTCAGAAAGTAGCAGCTGGAGGCAAGCAGAGAGTAATGAGAACAAAAGGGAAGACAATAAAAGTTGTGGTGCCATCAGCCTCAAATTGTAGTAGCAGTGGAATGTATTCGAGGTTAGAATTAGGATAATTTATCGGGAGAATTGCAACAAAATCCAAAATTAAAAAATAATTACTAAAAAGTCCACACAACAATTTAGCAGCTTGTAATAACAAGATCCAGAGTAGGATATGACAACTTCAAACTTGTCATTGGGAATTTTTAGTGGTTATATTTCTTTTTTAGGACCTCATTGAAATTCTCCCTAATTTATTGGATCCTCTAAAAGATAAAAATATATAATTAAGGAGAGAAATTCCCGTACAAGTTAGGCGTGTGCTTTCAAAGAGGATGACACTGCATGAAAGTGAGTGTTTTGCTTTTTAATTGCTTTGTTATGTATGTATTCAATTTCAAAGCCAAAAATTATCTTAGAGATCCAATTGAGTTGTGGCATAAAACATCCTTCCATTCACCCTTTTTATTATGCATCCGGAAGTGTTACGATTTAAATGGATCACAAAATAAGCCTGTAGATTAAACATTTGAAATTTGATTTTCAAGTTATTATTCACGGATAAATTTCATATTTTTTTAATCTAAATTTGAAAATTCATAACTAATTATAACAAAATTGTATTAAAGTAATTCAATTCTCCATTTAAAGCTCTTTTAAGTCTCTACAGGAGAAAAATATAAATATAGACTTAAACCTTCTAATTCATACAGTTAGCTCGCTAATGTTTACTATTTATTTGGTCAAACAGTACATATCCAAATTCTCTGCCTTAACTCTGAGCAATCGTGTCTCTTAGCGCATACATCTATTTTAAGTGATCTGCCACTTATTTTAAAGCTTAGGATGTGTACCAAATTTTTAGTAAATTTCATAGGCAGATTCATTTGTTTGCACCACTCTCACTCTTTCTCAAATTCGTTGCTCATTATGGGAAAGTTTATCCCCCCTTGACTTGAATTTAACAATTCATATTCATTTCTTACATATATAATCATTCTAACATTGCAAAAATCATACTCATGTATCACCATGCTCAACTTTACCTGCCATCATCATCATCATTTAAAATTACATAACATTGAGAGGCATGTACGCTCAGCCATTACCCTCTGGGGGAGTCTTTTGACTTTGACTCATACCCCGATCAAGTTCTCTCAGCTCAACCATTCCTTTTCTGAGGGGAAGTCTCTTAGTAGTGACTACATACCTCTTAGGTTACTCTCTGTCATTCCTTACTTCTTCTCTATATCTATTTTTCCTGGAGATCACCTCAATTTCATAACCTTAGTTGGACCAATCCTGATAACCCATTACTTTCCTAGATAGAGATTTCACTCATACCGGGTTTTGCTTGAACCAGTACTTTGTTTAAACAATTGCCAGAACCTTTACTCTGATACCAAAATGAAATATCCTACCTTTAACCCCTGAGAGTACGTGTTTGGAAGAGTTATGGTTCAAGCGATTCACAAAACAAGCGTGTAGATTGAACTTTGTGATTGGTTCTCAGGTTGCTATTTACTGGTAAATTTTAGATTTTCAATCCAACTTTGAGTAATCATAACTCCTAGCACACACATCCGTTTTAAGTGATCTACCACTTGTTTTAAAGCTCAGGATGTGTACTTTAATCATGCCAAATTCATGCCTTAACTCATTCATTTGATAGTTCAAACTAGAGCTGGAAACTAACTGCTCCAGGACCTATGTTTTATCCATTAAACAATTCTTACTTTAATTCTCCCTTCATTCGAACATGCAACACCAGCCTTATGAATTTCCATTCATTCATATACTTTGAGTTGCAAGCCATTACATTATATATCAAATATTACCTCACATTTCATGCTTGACATATCTATAATTAATTACATTACTAGCGACTTCAATCATTACATTGAAAAGCATGTAAATTCTCCACCTTCTTTGCCTCTATCTTCTTGCCCTTCTTCATGCATGCCTTCTCTTTATCATTTGATCTACTACGGTTGGTTAAAGGAGGGTGAGATTTGAGAGAATCTCAATAGCAAACAATAACCACCCAAACATACATGGCAAACTTGGCATTTATAACATGCAAGCAATTTAACATCTTTATAACATAATGACATGTTTAGAAATCATCATGTATTTATGATAAAACACATAGGCCTATGGCATATTTCAAACACATTCATAATCACAACACATGAGTTCATAAAATCATATAACATAGAAACATGTCATACATGCAAGCAAATACTAAGCACATAAGAGTAAGGTCAAGTTTGCTACCTTGTGTCCTTAAGCTTTCTTCTTACTCCCTTTTTGTTTCTAACCATTAAATTTGCTTGCTCAACCACATCCAAACCTTCTCTTGAATGCCTCAAGGTCCTAATCACAGCCATAAGGGTCACATTACTCATTAGGACCAAAAATTACACAATATGAAAGACTTATGTCCTTAAACTTAATCCCTTTCCCCTTTATCTATAATGTAGTATTCTAGCTTTGTAAAAATTGTTTCCTTAGGCCAATCCAACACAATTTTACCAAGGAATCCAAATATGAGTTTAGATTCATCAAAATCCAATTCCTTCCCCTGATTCTAGGCCAAAACCAAAATCTGCCACTTAATTTTTAATTTTGATTCCAATGCTTCCAACTTCATTCTTTCATCTTATCCCTACACAATTTTTCATTTTAAACACATTGAAAGCATCAAAATCATTAAAATCACATCCTAGGCACAAGAACTAGGTCTGGCAGAAATATTTCCTTAAGTTACATAATCATGAAATTCAACCAATTTCAGCATAAAATCACTTGATTCGTGTTCATTTCAAGCCTTTCAATATTATTCTATCATCAATTTCATCTTCCTCTACTCTTAAGAATTTCACGCAGCATAACCCCTTAAGGTTTCAAGCTCGCAAAAATCATTAAAATCCATAATGAAGCTCAATAACAATAAGGATAGTGAAAACTACATCAAAAACCATGAACATACCTTGTTTTAGAGCTTGATCTTGCATATGACCACTTGGCCTTTCTTTCTCCCTCTTTTTTCTTTCTTTAGAAACTATTTTGCCAGAGCTTTCCCAGGGTTTCCATGGCTTAGGACGAAATGAGAGGGAGGGAAGGGGTATTTATAGAAAACAAGACTGAATCTGACCCGTTGATCTTAAAAATACGTGGCTTGATCTAGACCGTCCATTTTATCTTTTAATCTTATGGTGACAAGTATCCTATGACATCATGCTTACCTCATCATGATGACATCATGCTTACATCATCAATCCATATGCTTTTAATCCGACCGTACACATGTCTTGCATCTGACCGTACACGTAATACCTTTTTTTCCCATCTAACCATACACCTGTCTCTTCCATTTTCCTTCATCATTAAGGCATTAAAATAGAGAGGAAATTAATATAAAATTCGTGCAAAATACCACCCTTAGGCATTCCCCCACCTATCTCGCCATTCTGCACTGTATAGGGTACTTTTTTAGATCCTGACCTTCCCGGGACCACTGGAACATGTTCTGGCACCATTTTCTCACCTCAAATAAATCTACATGGTATTATATAACATGCCTAAAGAGGGAGTGATGCTCTTCCTTTGTTCTTCTATTAAAATAATTAATAATATTTATTTCAGAGTGATCTTGACCGAATTCTTTCTATCAGTCCACAACTCTGAGAATCTATCTCCAAATACCAATACTATTCATTCATCACGGGGAATCCCTCTAATTTTTCTTAAGTCAAAAGTCAATCTCTAGACATTTGACTTTGACTTTTCCCGGATAGTATGTAAATAGGCTTTAAATTCCATTAAAGCCAACCTCTTTGCTTTCTGGGAACGAAATTATTTTTTAAACCTGTGATAATTCCTCAAGTATTTTCTCCCATTTTCTTCCAATTATATAAGACCTCCTTGTACTTTAAATAATTCATTTTCAATAATATTCAAAATTAGTCAAAACCCTGGGAATTTCACAAATTCCTTCCAAGGGTATTTTTGTCATTTTTAGCTTCATACAGGCCTCTGAACCTTATTCCCATTTTTCTGAAATTTTTCTAAAGTGTTCAGGCCTTAACTTGCCATTTGCCATTTTCTGGGATTTTTTTAGGATTTTTGGGCATAATTTTCATTTTTTCCCTTATCAGCCCAAAACTATACAAAATTATGATTTTGCCCTTGATTTGGCTTAATCTCAAAATTCACCTTATTGAGGCCTCCAACATAACCTTTGGCCTATATTTATCTCTATTTCTCATTCCTGGGCCTCAAGACTTCTTATGAGTCTCTAACTTCCTCTTTTCTCAGTCTCAAAAAATTTTCCCTTTGTGATTTAGTCCCTGGGAATCCCTCTGTCCCTCTAGGGAACCTCTAGGACCTCTACCAAAAAAGTTTCGTACCCTGCCCATTTCAGGCTAATTCCGGTACTTCTAGGCATAAAATTCGGGATGTGACATAGAGACTCCAATAAAGTCACAAGGGCTCTAGCATAAGAATTGGAGATGATTAAGAGCCAAAGTATGTGCTGAAAACCTCAATGAGATGATTCCTAAGGCTAAACCTAATCAGGGACCTAACTGTAAATTCAAAAAGTTTTTGGCCAAAAAGGGGATTGATGGAAAGTATGCCCAAAAATTCTAGAGAAATTTTAGAAAATGTCAGAAAAATGAGAAATAAGGTTTTGAGGCTGTATAGGATTAAAAATGAGAAAAATATCCTTAAAGCAAATTGATAAAATCCCCAGAGTTTTGACTAATTATGAATATTTATAGAAATTGAATTATTTAAAACATGAGGAGCCCTTAGATAATTAGAGATAAATAGGGAATGAATACTTGAGGAATTATCAGAGGTTTTAAAAATGATTTTGTTCCTCTTACAAAAAAAAAAGATTCTATCCCCAGAAAGCAAAGAGATTGGTTTTAATAGAATTTAAAGCCTATTTATAAGCTATTAAGGGGAAGTCAAAATAAACCATTTGTGGGTTGACTTTTAACCTGAGAAAAATTAGAGAGATTCCCCATGATGAAAAGGTAGTATTAGTACCCAAAGACAGATTTTTAGAATCATGAACCGATAGAATGAATTCAGTCAATTTTACTTCGAAATAAATTTTGTTAATAAATAAATGTTTTACTGAAGGAACAAAAGAAAACATATCACTTCCTCTTTAAGCATGTTATATAATGCCATGTGACATTATTTGTGATAAAAAAAAAAACAAGAGTGCAAGAACATGTTCTAGGGTTATCGGGTAAGTCAAGACCCCAAAAAGTGTTTGATACAAAGTAAAATTGTGAAATCAATAGAGGAATAGTCAAAGGTAAGTGGGAGCACGAATTTC